CTCAACATGATCTTCTGCGGCCCTCAATAAAATAAAAATCTGAACTCTCCATGCGTGCTCATCATTATCCTACGCGTTCGACATGCCCCCCTGCTCCTTTCAATTGTGAGAGGAAATGACGCTACTCTTTCCAAACCAAGTTTTCATAGTATTGATTCTAACGCAATGTAATTGCATATTCATTTTTCAAGTTTCATCAGGACAAGGGAAAATACTTGTAACGAGTGTTTTGTCTGCCATTCTGTATGAACAAACGTTTCCTACCAAGCCCTTTGCACTGATGTTCCTGGAGAAACTCTTGCTTGGTTGGTAGTGGGACAGGACGGATGAGTCTGAGTCTTTGGGGGTTGTTGGCACTGTGTGGGAAAACAAAACAAATTGTTACTTCAATAATACACGGTACAATGCAATGTCATATTTCCGTATACACTCCACTGTATCCTGTGCATATGCCAAATAAACTTTGATTTGATAACATAATATTGATGGAATGAGTAAATTATAGTGAGAACGTACGCAACATTTATTAATTTAACCATCAATGAATTGATGGTTGGTAACATACTGGCCATGGTCTCACCTGAGAGAGACAGGGCTCTACGCTGACCTTTTGTACAAGGAGCACGTGTTATGCTTTGTGATTACTTAATGAAGCATAACAGAAAATGCATACAGCATTACTTACCTCTCTTTCAGTGTTTGCACAACCACAACTTGTACTGCCTCAGGTTCCGTTGACATCAGACTGTCTCCACCAGTATCTCCCTGAGAAATACATGTTTGTTTTATGTTACTGTATAGAATCTTATAGCTAGGGTTTTTGGGGTGGTCCTGTGCCAAAAATGCTGTCGACCACTTAGCTAGCTAGCATTACCATCTACAAACGAAACGCACTATCATGTCAACAATCTACATATGTAGCTTTAGCTAGCTAATGTTAGCTAGTCTAAATAAAGGGATTGGGCATCTTGTGGGGTTTATGCAGTGTAGCTACATGATGCTATCGTTAGATTCCTGACTATAAAACAGTCAGAATACAGAAGATGTTAGCTAGCTAGTTAAGTAAACGTGTTAGCTAGCTTGAGCATTGAACATACTAAGGTTAGCTACTAATGTAGCTAGCAGGCAAAAAACGCAACCAAGACTTACCAGTCCATGAGAACAGTGGCTATTACGGTGTCCCTCTTCCACCTTTCAAAAATAGTTTCTGGATTGGTCATGAGCAGTCTTTCTCTCTTCTTTTTCTCTTTTGGGGTCAGATTGATTCAGATCCAAGAACATAGAATTATGATTGTTGGCATCGTCTGCTCTGTTTTTGTTTCTGGAGTCTGTAACCTTAGGTTGTAAGTAACTTTCACTTCCTCTCCAGCTTAGCGCAAAGACGCACCTAGCCCAGTAGGCCAGCCCAAGGTGGCTCAAATTCAAATTACTACACAAGAAGTGGGGCGGCATAGGGTCACCCACGACCTGCAGATTCCTGCTTTAATCTATTCCTCTCTTGTGCAATGTCTTATGAGTCATACATTGGACCTACTTAAATATCATGTTGAATTGTATTTCATGTTGAATTGTATTTCAAATGAATACATGCATACACATGTTGTTTATGTTATGATCTGTCTGCCCCCCCCCCGAAGACTGAAACAGGGTTCCCTCAAATGTCCCTGTATTTAGCGCCATCCTTCAATTCTGACCAGTTTCTCAGTACCTGCCGATGAAAAACATCCCCAAAGCATGATGCTGCCACCACCACGCTTCACTGTGGGGATGGTGTTCTCGGGGTGATGACAGGTGTTGGTTTTGCGCCAGACATAGCGTTTTCCTTGATGGCCAAAAAGCTCAATTTTAGACTCATCTGACCAGAGTACCTTCTTCCATATGTTTGGGGAGTCTCCCACATGCCTTTTGGCGAAACGTGTTTGCTTATTTTTTTCTTTAAGCAATGGCTTTTTTCTGGCCACTCTTCCGTAAAGCCCAGCTCTGTGGAGTGTTCGGCTTAAAGTGGTCCTATAGACAGATACTCCAATCTCCGCTGTGGAGCTTTGCAGCTCCTTCAGGGTTATCTTTGGTCTCTTTGTTGCCTCTGATTAATGACCTCCTTGACTGAGATCATGTGACAGATCATGTGACACTTGATCTTATTTAGGGGCTTCATAGCAAAGGGGGTGAATACATATTCACGTACCACTTTTCCTTTTTTTATTTTTTTTAAATCTTTTGAAACAAGTTATTTTTTTCATTTCACTTCAACAATTTGGACTATTTTGTGTATGTCCATTACATGAAATCCAAATAAAAATATATTTAAATTACAGGGTGTGTCACGCCCTGGCTCTGGGGACTCTTTAATGTTGAGCCAGGGTGTTAGTTTCTATGTTGGCCGGGGTGGTTCTCAATCAGAGGCAATGTGTATCAGCTGTTGCTTGTTGTCTCTGATTGGGAACCATACTTAGGTAGTCGTTTGGCATTTGTGTGGTGTGGTATCTTGTTCCGTGTAGGTTTGTGTTGGTGAACCTGTGGACTTCACGTATCGTTTGTTGTTTTTGTTCGTGTGTTGTACATCTAATAAATCATGTACGCTTATCACGCTGCGCCTTGGCCCGTTTCATCTAATGACGATCGTGACAGGGTGTAATGCAACAAAATAGGAAAAACGCCAAGGGGGATGAATACTTTTGCAAGGCACTGTATAATACCATTTTTGGATTGTGTAAAACAACAGTAATTGTGTGTTAGCGGGGATGCAGGGTTGTGTTTTAAACAAAACAACTAAAAGTGTGCTTGCTCTAGTTCCCCAAAGTCACAGCTAGGAGAGCTAAAAAAAAAAGAACCTTATAGTCAAAGTCTTCTTTGAATCATAGTGCATTGAAATTACTTAGGAACTGTGCACACTTTGGAGAGGTGTGTGGCCTCTTGTAGACAACAGTTACTCCTCTCCCCTTGTAATTTGATTGTTTTATGTTGCACCAACACCACATTTCCAGAAATAATCTTATCATGTTACTGAATGTATCCAGAGTATTTTCAGATTTCGTTACATACAAATGCAGCAAAATGGACAGTAAATGTAAAATGCACATAAAATCAACAGTGTAATGTTTGGATTCAACAACTTGTGTCCTCACCTTTGGTCTAATACTTTTCCCATAATCTCCAAGCTGTTGCCTTTCAATTGCTATCCTTGGTTATTCATATGCTTTTCATATTTCTTCTGTAAGAAACATTTCAATTTAGCCCTATCCATATAGGCCAAAAGGAAAATGGAAGGAGATGTACAGTCGTGGTCAAAAGTTTTGAGAATGACACAAATATTAATTTTCAAAGTCTGCTGCCTCAGTTTTTATGATGGCAATTTGCATATACTCCAGAATGTTATGAAGAGTGATCAGATGAATTGCAAAGTCCCTCTTTGCCATGAAAATGAACTTAATCCCAAAAAAACATTTCCACTGCATTTCAGCCCTGCCACAACAGGACCAGCTGACATCATGTCAGTGATTCTCTTGTTAACACAGGTGAGAGTGTTGACGAGGACAAGGCTGGAGATCACTCTGTCATGCTGATTGAGTTAGAATAACAGACTGGAAGCTTTAAAAGGAGGGTGGTGCTTGAAATCATTGTTCTTCCTCTGTTAACCATGGTTACCTGCAAGGAAACACGTGCCGTCATCATTGCTTTGCACAAAAAGAGCTTCACAGGCAAAGATATTGCTGCTAGTAAGATTGCACCTAAATCAACCATTTATCGGATCATCAAGAACTTCAAGGAGAGAGGTTCAATTGTTGTGAAGGCGGCATCAGGGCGCCCAAGAAAGTCCAGCAAGTGCCAGGATGTCTCCTAAAGTTGATTCAGCTGCGGGATCAGGGCACCACCAGTGCAGAGCTTGCTCAGGAATGGCAGCAGGCAGGTGTGAGTGCATCTGCACGCACAGTGAGGCGAAGACTTTTGGAGGATGGCCTGGTGTCAAGAAGGGCAGCGAGGAAGCCACTTCTCTCCAGAAAAAAAATAAATAATCAGGGACAGACTGATATTCTGCAAAAGGTACAGGGATTGGACTGCTGAGGACTGAGGTAAAGTCATTTTCTCTGATGAATCCCCTTTCCGATTGTTCGGGGCATCCGGAAAAAAGCTTGTACAGAGAAGACAAGGTGAGCGCTACCATCAATCCTGTGTCATGCCAACAGTAAAGCATCCTGAGACCATTCATGTGTGGTGTTGCTCACTCACAATTATGCCTAAGAACACAGCCATGAATACAGAATAGTACCAACACATCCTTTGAGAGCAACTTCTCTCAACCATCCAAGAACAGTTTGGTGACGACCAATGCCTTTTCCAGCATGATGGAGCACCTTGCCATTAGGCAAAAGTGATAACTAAGTGGCTCGGGGAACAAAACATCAACATTTTGGGTCCATGGCCAGGATACTCCCCAGACCTTAATCCCATTGAGAACTTGTGGTCGATCCTCAAGAGGCAGGTGGACAAACAAAAACCCACAGATTCTGACAAACTCCATGCATTGATTATGCAAGAATGGGCTGCCATCAGTCAGGATGTGGCCCAGAAGTTAATTGACAGCATGCCAGGGCGGATTGCAGAGGTCTTGAAAAAGAAGGGTCAACACTGCAAATATTGACTCTTTGCACACTTATGGAATGCTTGTAATTATACTTCAGTATACCATAGTAACATCTGACAAAAATATCTAAAAACACTGAAGCAGCAAACTTTGTGAAGACCAATACTTGTGTCATTCTCAAAACCTTTGACCACGACTGTACACAACAAGTTCACAGGAATCACTAGATGTAAGTGGACAGCCAGTTCCCAAAGATTGTGTCATTGACTGTGAATGCAAATGTGACAAGACCGTCATTGAAAATATTCACAACAATAAAGATTTGGGCATAAAAATCAATTAGGGATATAATGACTTTACCATTGAAATTGAGGACATAGACAAAATTCCTGGAGACACAATGGCAGAGACTTGCAAATCAGTGGTCGAACTATAAAAGCAATAAAAATCACTAACTTCCCCCACTATGCTAAGACCATCTCAGGTCTCATTAGGAGACGGAATGATCCAAACAAAGGCTTGGGCACAGAGCCAGTTCATTTCATTGTTGGCAATTTCCTTACAGAGCTGTTGCCTGACAATATATACAGTATACAGTGCCACTGTATCAGAAGCTTGAAACTAACTTAAAGATCTTTATGTTGACAGAAGCTATGGTTTTTTATGATAATTTAAGCCGTAATGCAACCAATTATTTAAAAAAAGAAATGTTAATAGATGCTTTGGCATGTAATCAAAGGGAATCATAATGAAGTGTCAGATTTATGTTAAAGGCAGTGCAGTTAAAAATGATAATGCCCTTTTTGTTTAAGAGCTGTTTGAAAAAAATGTCAGCCTTTTCAGGTGGGATGGAACCTTTGGCCCACATCATGACGCCACAATGTGATCTGATTATAATAGACCAATGACTGTTCATATGGGTAAGGGGGTGGGCTCTAGACCATCCTATCAGCCAATCAGGGCTGTGTATGTAAATATCTTCAAACGTGTTTCCTAACGCCCACACAATCAGACTGAGCATTTTAAGGGCCAAAAGGAGGCTCAGAGAAATACATTATACAAAATATATTTTGGAGTTGTTTTCATTAAATAAACAGTGATTTATTACACTTGTGTAATTACACAGTGATGATCTAAAATAAATTACTAAGACAGCATGGGGGCACTAAGAATCCTTAGGATGCTATTGAACAACAGCAGTTTCTATCCTCAGAGGTGATCAGAAACTCAGAGATGCTCTTTTTCAACATCCTTATGATGCCAACTTGCAACACCTTGGAAGACTATACTGATAATCACCCAATGATCAGAGGGGGGTCCTGGAACGGGCAAATCCCAGAAACTTTGGTCATTGAGCAAGGACCATCCACCCGATCCTGCAGTCACAATTACTTTTCTCTCTAAGGATTCCCCACATAAGAATCAGAACGCCACTGACATGTAGTAGTGTTGTGGCATGCGTATCAAGTGTACATTTCAGTAAATACTGTGCAAAACATGGGGCTAACATGTTAAAAGCAATTAATAAGCAACTCTATAGGCTGATACACTATGTTGATCCTATATCATATAATTATGTTCATGCCAAAATCACATAAAACAGCTGGGTTGAAATAAATAAAGCAGATGTTGACTGCGCCACCAGTAGTGTTTTCACGATACCATCATTTTGACTGATACCGATACCAGGTTTAGTATCACGATACTCGATACCAAAACGATTTTAAAAAAACGTATTAGCCAAAGACACACAATGGCACTTGATCCAGACAGATAAACTCAGTGCTCTGTTCAATCGTTGGGCATCTTTTGAGTTCAATATAATTACATTTGAATGGAATTTTTTTAGAGACAGCCATGTATGCAGTAATGAATCAATTATACAATCAATTTGACTTTGTTTTTACCAATCTAACTACAAAACATAATGGTAATTACTTATTTGAATGGTACATCTCTATTAATAAACTGCGTAAATCAAGATGCAGCATAGGTCTATTCACAATACAGGTGAATGCATATAAGTCAATAGGAGTGTGTGCATGCATTGAGTTATTGAGTTTGTTTTAGCTGATTTCATGGGGATACAGATGAAACAATCCCTTCCATTTAGGACTTATTGTATTGGCAACTGCTAGGAGAACATATTACACTGAACAAAAATATAAACGCAACATGTAAAGTGTTGCTCCCATGTTTCATGACCTGAAATAAAATATCCAAGAAATGTTCCATACACACAAAAAGCTTCTCTCTCAAATGTTGTGCATAAATTTGTTTACATCCCTGTTAGTGCGCATTTCTCCTTTGCCAAAATAATATCAAGAAGCTGATTAAACGCCATGATTATTACACAGGTGCACCTTTTGCTGGGGACAACAAAAGGCCACTCTAAAATGTGCAGTTTTGTCACACAACACAATGCCACAGATGTCTCAAGTTTTGAGGGAGCGTACAAATGGCATTCTGACTGCAGGAATGTCCACCAGAGCTGTTGCCAGCAAATTGAATGTTAATTTCTTTACCATAAACCGCCTCAAACGTAGTTTCAGAGAATATGGCAGTACATCCAACCAGCCTCACAACAGCAGACCCCGTGTAACCACGCAAGCCCAGGATCTCCACATTCGTCTCTATACTGATGTTTTGCCAGTTTAATTGCCTTGCGGAGTGAGTTGCTACACTGTTTGTATTCTGCCATATTCCCAGTCACCTTGCCATGGTTAAATGCGGTGGTTTGCGCTTTCAGTTCTGCGCGAATGCTGCCATCTATCCACGGTTTCTGGTTAGGGTAGGTTTTAATAGTCACAGTTGGCACAACATCACCTATAGACTTCCTGATAAACTCCGTCACCGTTTCAGTTTATTCTTCTAAATTATTTTCGCGAGCTACCCGGAACATATCCCAGTCCACATGATCAAAACAATCTTGAAGCGTGGATTCCGATTGGTCAGACCAGCGTTGAATAAGCCTTATCACGGGTACTTCCTGTTTGAGTTTCTGCCTATATGAAGGGAGGAGCAAAATGGAGTCATGGTCAGATTTGCCTAAAGGAGGGCGGGGGAGGGCCTTATAACCATCCCGGAAGTTCGAATAGCAATGGTCGAGGATTTTAGCTGCCCGAGTGCAACAGTCGATATGTTGATAGAACTTCGGCAGCCTAGTCCTCAAATTTGCTTTGTTAAATTCCCCGGCTACAATAAATGCAGCCTCAGGATATGTGGTTTCCAGTTTGCATAACGTCCAGTGAAGTTCTTTGAAGGCCGTCGTGGTATCAGCTTGAGGGGGGGGGATATACACGGCCATGACTATAACCGAGGAAAATTCTCTTGGGAGATAATACGTTCGGCATTTGATTGTGAGGTATTCTAGGTTGGGTGAAAAAAAGGACTTGAGTTCCTGTATGTTACTACAATTACACCATGAGTCATTAATCATGAAACACACACCTCTGTCCTTCTGCTTCCCGGAGAGATATTTATTTCTGTCTGCGCGATGAACTGAGAACCCATCTGGCTGGGCCGATTTCGACAGAATATCCCCAGAGAGCCATGTTTCTGTGAAACAAAGTATGTTACAGGCCCTGATGTCTCTCTGGAAAGAAATCCTTGCATTGAGCTCGTCGACTTTGTTATCCAAAGACTGAACATTAGCGAGTAGTATACTTGGAAGCGGTGGGTGGTGTGCGCGCCTCCTAGGTCGAACCAGCAGGCCGCTCCGAGTGCCTCTCCTCCGCCGGCGATGTTCTGGGTCAGCCTCTGGAATCAGTTCAATTGCCCTGGGGAGAGCAAACAAAGGATCTGCTTCGGGAAAGTCGTATTCCTGGTCGTAATGCTGGTGAGTTACCGCCACTCTGATATCCAATAGTTTTTCCTGGCTGATAATAATGTAAAAAATACATTTAAAAAACAAAATACCGCAAAGTTTCCTAAGAGCTAGTCGCGAGGCCGCCATCTTCGTCGGCGCCAGAGATGTGTCGCGCTGCATGAGGCAAATGGTGGTAACACCAGATACTGACTGGTTTTCTGATCCACACCCCTACCTTTTTTTTAAGGTATCTGCAACCAACAGATGCATATCTGTATTCACTTGTGAAATCCATAGATTAGGGCCTAATGAAATCATTTCAATTGACTGATTTCCTTATATGAACCGTAACTAAATCTTTGAAATTGTTGCATGTTGAGCTTGTATTTTATTGTACTGATCAACAACATTTGCATAGAAGAAGCAATCTCCTATTTTATAAAAGAGTGTGTTCTCTTTAAGACAGTAATGATTTCATTAGTAAGGCAGAATGTGGCTGTGGAATCTAGTGGAAACCAGATGGGAGGCTAGGGAGACAAAGAAGTGAATGAGTTTTTGGTGGCGAGGGAGACGAAGTGAATTACATTTTTTTTTTTGACAAATCAGCATATTTTGCGTTATGGTTTGCATATTATCACAAATAAAGTCCTACGGTAGTGAATTCAGCTGTAAACCAGCAAAGAACGTTAGCCTACAATTAAAGCTGGAAGCTACTGGTATCGTCTTGCATTGTAAGTGTTCTAGCCTGAATGGACATTGTTTTGTAAACAGTAATGAAAAGTTTTGAAATGTCTACATGCCATGTTGCATTATTCAAGTGTAAACTTTTCTGTGCAGCATGAGTGGGGAGCTAACAATGCAGCCCAGACAGCTCTAGCAACGAATGAGTAAGTGGAGCAGGCACTGCTCTTCGCACTATAAAGGGGCTGCGCAGATACAGACTTGATCTTATCAATCACGTGAGACACATTTGACAGAAGTACCGGAACATAACAAAAATTGTAGTACCGAACCATTTGTTTTTAAGTTTCAAAAAAAGTACCGAAGTTTCAGTATACCGTGCAACACTAGCCACCAGTGCCTACGCCTTTGCATGTGCTTCTCATTGTAGTAGCTCAGTGTCACTAGGCAGGTTTCCATTGACACAGGTTTATTCGACAAACGCAATGTCGCCCCAAAAAAATATTTGCAACATGTGTAATAGAAACAACACATATGGGATATGTTTTCTACAGATCGACAACATTTCTTTCCGTTCGACACGGGTGGATTTTTCTTTTGTCTAACTTTCTTTATTGCGACAAATGATGATGGAAACTGTGTTTTTCGAATAAATGATGCTTGCCGAATACTTTTGAAGGTACGTGGGGCATGATATCACGTAACTATAAGCTCCACACCACATTTCATTCTAAGTGTCTACTGCTTGCATAATACTTTTTTTCAACTATAAGAATTATGTTTCTTTGCAGGACAAGAATTGTCCTGACTTTCAAGAACGGCTGAATTGCGTCGCCTTGCTTTTCTGGATGGCTGGCAAGTTTCTCTATCCAATTATTTCAGATTTACAGGAGTGCAAGTTTCACCATGGCACGGACCTTGGCGATACGTTGGCACATGAGAACTATTTGAATATGGCAAATATTAGTCAATTATTGCATTCTAGCCATGCTGGCTTCCGCGGGCTACCTGAGACATGAAACATATGTGGGAGGGCATACAGGCTGTCACCAATTTATTAATGCGCAATTTGCCTAAATGGGTAATGGAAACACTTCAACCACTACATTCTTCCTCGACACTGTCTAGCAGGCAATTGTTGCATCTATTTTCTATGCAAACTTCCTCAATGTCGACAAAAACAAAAAAATTCACTGGGCAAGTTAATGGAAACATAGCTACTAAGAGCAGTTGACTGCAGTATCTGTAGTAGTATGTGTGTGCTGCTCACTGTAGTAGCTCAGCATCAGTGAGGGCAGTAGACTGCAGTAGTTGTAGTATATGGGAGGACTCTGAGGAGGTGCTGACGTCTCCATCTCTCCCTGCTTTAGCTGTCAGCTTGTAGAGGCTGGAGCAGCTCAGAGCCAACTCCAGAGCATCCATCCAACACCGACCTGGGGTGGAGAGAGAGAGAGAGAGAGAGGGGTCAGGGGTCAAAGGTTGTCAGACACCAACAGGTGCTTGCACGCATACACCGATTGTACATACAGCCACTCAGACACACAGCTCTAATACCACTAGGGTCGTTGGGTTCTGATTATAGCACGAAGGCACACACACACACAAGCAAGCAAAAAAAAACGTCTCACCGTCAGACTCTGACGCAGCTCTGAAGATCAGGTAGTTGCTGGGTAGAGGCTGGGTGATGGAGCCAACATTTTCCCCTTTAGGACCCTGAGGACACCGAAGACAGAGGGGTTAACATTACACTTCCTCATGGTTAATAGTATCACTATATTGACAATCTTTATACTGCTGTGAATAATGTACAGTGAACAAAAATATAAACGCAATATGTAAAGTGCTGGTACCATGTTTCATGAGCTGAAACAAAATATCCCAGAACTGTTCCATATGAATAAAAAGCTTATTTCTCTAAAATGTTGTGCACAAATTTGTTAACATCCCTGTTAGTGAGCATTTTATACTTTGTCAAGATAATCCATCCACCTGACAGGTGTGGCATATCAAGAAGCTGATTAAACAGCATGATCATGACATATGTGCACCTTGTGTTGGGGACAATGAAAGGCCACTCTAAAATGTGCAGTTTTGTCACACAACACAATGCCACAGATGTCTCAAGTTTTGAGGGAGCGTGCAATTGGCATGGTGACTGCAGGAATGTCCACCAGAGCTGTTGCCAGATAATTTTCTGTTCATTTCTCTACCATAAGCCGCCTCCAACGTCGTTTTAGAGAATTTAGCAGTACGTCCAATAAGCTTCACAACCGCAGACCACGTGTAACCACGCCAGCCCTTGGAGTATTTCTGTTTGTAATAAAGCCCTTTTGTGGGGAAAAACTAATTCTGATTGTCTTGGCCCGGCTCCCCATTGGGTTGACCTATGCCCTCCCAGGCCCACCCATGGCTGCACCCCTGCCCAGTCATGTGAAATCCATAGATTACGGCCTAATTTATTTCTTTAAATTGACTGATTTCTTTATATGAACTGTAACTCAGCAAAATCTTTGAAATTGTTGTATGTTGCGTTCATATTTTTGTTCAGTATAATTTTTAACACTTGTAACAACATGAGACAACACAACCCAAGAGTTCTGAAGCCAGAATATGGCATTACAAATGCTAACCTAAGCCGTTTGCAAAGTACAGCAAAGCATCCAAACACAAATGCAGAAATCATATAGCAGGCCCTCTCCATGCACATGTCATGGGACAGAAACTAAAAGACAAAAGAAAATACAGAATATTATGAAGCTGATAATAAAACTAAACAAATAAAGTAATCCAGATCTAGGAACTCTGGCATTGATGAGAGCTCTGTGTCTGACCTTGACTGCCCAGATGGACTTGTCCAGCGGGTGGTAGAGCTTGAAGCAGAAGCCGTCCTTCTTGGAGGGCCTCTCAATCAACTTGCACGCGTTGAGCAGGATGGTGCCCACCCAGTGGTCCGATTTAGGGGTCTTATAGATCAGCAGGACCCCCGGCTTCAGGGCACACCACAGCTTGGTCCAGCTCTTCAGTGAACCACGGATCTACCGGGAGTGAGATGCGGGTGTTGGGGGGGGGAGTGAGATGGAGAGAGGGAGCAGAGGAGGCCTCAATACTATTACATTATGAGTGTGTATGACACGTTTTAATGTGTCAAGGTAATATAGAACATCCCTGGAAAGCAATGGTGGGTGAGGAGATATTCCCAAATTACCTTTAGCCAGTTTGCCGTGATGACAACACTGGGGTCCTTCAGAGCGCTGGACAATTCTTTGGCTGCCCGCTTCTTCTCCTGTCTGTAATTCTTCTTCTGGACCTGCAGCACACACAGACGGAGTCTTTTAGGATGAGTCATTGTTTTGTGACTTGCAAATGACAAGACAAAACAAGTATGGCACTAGGGGGAGGTACTGTCAAACACATGGCATACATCCACACATGCAGACTTGTATTTATTATGTGCCCCTAGTTAGGGCGGCAGTGTATGTCAAACTAATGATAATAGAAAAAGGGGATGATACCCCATTCTGTGAATCACACAAAGGACCAGAGCTCTTGCTTCTAAACCTTTTCTTGATGCAAACTTGATTCCTTTTCACTAGTAGTTGTATGTTAGATGTATGTTAAATGTCTCCCTATCCATTCCTTGGGGACACTTAGGACAGCACATTTACGTTCCAGCCCTGTAAAAACTAGGCTTATTCAACTCTCATTAGTTGAATCAGGTGTGTGAATGCTTGGCTGAAACCAAAATATGCTGACCTAGGGGTCCCAGAGGAACCAATTGGGAAACCCTGATATAAATATATTCAAATTCTAAATATTTTCTCCCCCCAACCATCTTAAATGCCTGTCAATATTTTTCCCGCAAGACATCCGCTCTCTGCGACCCCTTCCCGGCCAGGGACAGGAAGTGATGAGTTACCTTGAGAGACTCCTTCCGGGCCAGCTTCTCTGTGGGGGAGGAGCAGTCCTCCAGACCGTTGTTGAACATCCTGGACTCAGACTGAAGGAAGGAGAGATGGACAGATGTGAGAGAGTCAATGATAGTCAGACACACTCCTCTTCTTATGAGCTCACCTATAACAGCCCCATAACCCTCTGGTCTATCCCATTCATAGATGACATTTAAATAACACACACATTTCTTCAGGGTCTGACCAGAAAAGAGTACAGCCATGCTATCTTTGGTTCTGTCTGAAACAGGAGTGCAGTGCAGTCTTAGTGTAGTGTGAGTACACAGACCCATCAACTCCTGACACTGATCAATGGGAAAATGCTCTACTGTACTGGCCTGCACGTTGAGTTATACCACACAGCCATGTAACCATAGGGCTCTGGTCAACAGTAGAGCATCATGTTGGTAATAGGGTACCATTAACGGCCCTTGACTTTTTCAACATTATGTTGAGTTACAAAGTGGGATTCAAATTGTCAACAATCTACGCAAAATACTCTGTAATGTCACAGTGAAAAAAAAGAAATCTAACACTTGTAAGAAAAAAACATGTTAGAATGACCTTTGGCAGCGATTACAGCTGTGAGTCTTCCTGGGTAAGTCTCTAAAAGATTTCCACACCCGGATTGTGCAACATTTGCCCATTATTCTTAAAAAAATTATTCAAGCTCTGTCAAATTGGTTGTTGATCATTGCTAGACAATCATTTTCAGGTCGTCATAGATCTTCAAGCAGATTTAAGTCAAAACTGTAACTCGGCCACTCAGAAACATTCACTGTCTTCTTGGTAAGCAACTCCAGTGTAGATTTGGCCTTGCGTTTTTGGTTATTGTCCTGCTGAAAGGTGAATTTGTCTCGCAGCGTCTGGTGGAAAGCAGACAACCAGGTTTTCCTCTAGGATTTTGCCTGTGCTTAGCTCTATTCCGTTGATTTTTTTTTACCCTTAAAAACTCCCCAGTCCTTAACGATTACAAGCATGCCAATATCATGATGCAGCCACCACCATGCTTGAAAAAATTGAGAGTGGTACTCAGTAATATGTTGTATTGGATTTGCCCCAAACGTATTTAGGACAAAAAGAATTGTTTTGCCACATCTTTTGCAGTATTACTTTAGTAAGTTGTTTCAAACAGGACGCATGTTTTGGAATATTTTTTATTCTGTACAGGCCTTCTTTTAACTGTCAATTGGTAGTATTGTGGAGTAACTACAATGTTGTTGATCCATCTGCCGTTTTCTCCTATCACATTCATTAAACTCTGTTTTAAAGTCACCATTGGCCTCGTGGTAAACTCCCTGAGTGGTTTCCTTCCTCTCCGGTAACTGAGTTAGGAAGGATGCCTGTATCTTTGTAGTGACTGGGTGTATTGATACACCATCCAAAGTGTAATTAATAACTTCACCATGCTCAAAGGGATATTCAATGTAGTTTTTATTTTCTTTATTTTTTATCTACCAATAGGTGCCCTTCTTTGCGAGGCATTGGAAAACCTCCCTGATCTTTGTGGTTGAATCTGTGTTTGAAATTCACTGCTCGACATGTTAAACACTATTATTGCATACAAAGTGAGTCCACGCAACTTACTATGTGACTTGTTAAGCAAATGTTTGCTCCTGAACTTATTTAAGCTTGCCATAACAAAGAGGTTGAATATTTAGACTCAAGACATTTCAACTTTTCTTTTTTTTATTAATTTGTAAACATTTCGAAAAACAATTACACTTCGACATTATGGGGTATTGTGTGTAGGCCAGTGACAAAACAATCTCAATTTAATTCATTTAAAATTCAGGCTGTAACAACAAAAGGTGGAAAAAGTCAAGGGGTGTGAAAACTTTCTGAAGGCACTGTATATGCCAGCTACTTTTGGAATAAGTTTAGCAGAAATTCAGTGCACAGGTTTCCGATCTCCTGGGCAGGATTTCTAACACATACAGTCAAGTCAAAGATGATTGGCATCCTTGTTAAAGATGAGGAAAAAAGACTGTATATAACAAATACTGAGCTATAATGTATGCTCCAAAAAATTGGGAAAATATATTTTTTTATACTAATACAATTACTCAGAGAAAGAGATTTTCAAAATAATTATTGGCACCCATGTTTTAATACCTTTCAATGCCTAACTTTGCGAGGATAATGGCGCAAAGCCTTTTTCTAAATTGTTTTATGAGACTGGAAAACACGTGATCTTAGACCATTCCGCGATACATTTTCCTTGATATCCTTCGTCTGTGCTTATGGACTGGGATTCAAGCCCAGAGATTGAAATGACCATTGCAAAATTTTTATTTTGTGGTCAATTAACTATTTCTTTGTGGATTTTGATGTGTGATTGGAGTTATTGTCTTGCTGGAAGATCCAGGCAACCAGGTTTTTGGCTTAAAGCAACTGTCCAGTGTTTGATTAAATCTGTATTTGCAAAAATGTATAAAAACCTGTTTTTGCTTTGTCATGATGGGGTATTGTGTGTAGATTGATGAGGGGGAAAAAACAATTTAATCAATTTTAGAAAGGTCTGAATTCTTTCTGAATGCACTGTATATATAAAAAAAAAAATATTCATGTGAGTAGACCGCTGATTCTACGAGGAAATGGTAAAGCTACTTAAAACATAATTAATTACCATTACCATTTTTTGGAAGGAAAACTATTTCACTCATTTTAATTAATCATAGGTCATATTTAATCAAATCTGTAAACACTGGACAGTTACTTAAAGCCAAAAATCTGGTTGCCTCTGCCACGTTGCTGAAACTTTGCCGCAAATTTTCTAGCACCACAATAACCCCAAGCACACATCAACATCCACAAAGAAATTGTTAATTGACCACAAAATCAACATTTTGCAATGGCCATCTCAGTTTCCGGACTTGAACCCCATTGAAAACCTGTGGTTTGAATTGAAGAGGGCAGTCCATATGCGCAGACGAAGGATATCAAGGATCAGGAAATATTCTGTATGGATGAACGGCCTAAGATCCCTCCCAATGTGTTCTCCAATCTCATAAAACATTCTAGAAAAAGGATCAGTGTTATCGCAAAGTTTTGAAAGGTATTGAAAACAGTAGTGCCAATAATTTTGACACCTATTGGACCTGACTACGTCTGATGTGTGTTTATGCATGATTCACATACACACTGCATTTCTGAAGTGAGCCGTCACACACTCACATTCAGGAGTGTTTTAGAGTGTTCGGTAGAGAGCCGTATGTGACTGTGTTGTGATGAGTCCGCTATTGTCTCCGGAGTTACGAGGGGTGTTGGGTGGGAGACAGGTCAAAGCCCCATAGATAGTCAATGTAGTTCGGAATCACTCCATGAACAGAGCCGTGTGTGTGTTGGGGTGGGGTGGGGGGGGCAATGGGAGAGGGGACATGACCTTAACCTGGCCAGTGCTGCTGGAAACTTTTAGTGATCGATGTGAACTGCTATCATTGATGAGTCATCACACAGTGGCACAGAAAATAAACACTAGGCATAAGTGCTGTGTTGTTTTGTTTGATTCATTGTATGACGGATGTAGCCTACAATCAGCAAATGCCACCTACATTTGTTAGACTAAACAATGTATAGCCCTTAATAAAATGATTCACTTTTTGAAACAAGCATAGCATGTCAATTATAAATCGTGAATTCTAATAACATAATATTTGTTTTAAAACATTGTAGAATGTAGGCCTATTTCTAAATTGTCTAAACAAACTTGTGTTGAAAAGCTTTGCATCTACACTCAACAAAAATATAAACGCAACATGTAAAGTGTTGGTTCCCATGTTTCATGAGCTGAAATAAAAGATCCCAGAAATGTTCCGTATGCACAAAAAGCTTAATTCCCTCAAGTTTTGAGCACAAATTTGTTTACATCCCTGTAAGTGAGCATTTCTCCTTTGCCAAGATAATCCATCCACCTGACAGGTGTGGCATATCAAGAAGCTGATTAAACAGCATGATCATTATACAGGTGCACCTTGTGCTGGGACAATAAAAGGCAACTAAAATGTGCAGTTTTGTCTCACAATGCCACAGATGTCTCAAGTTCTGAGGGAGCGTGCAATTAGCCTGCAGGAATGTCCACCAGAGCTGTTGCCAGAGAATTGAAAGTGAATTTCTCTACCATAAGCCGTATCCAACGTCGTTTTACAGAATTTGGCAGTACCATGTGTATGGCGTTGTGTGGGCGAGCGGTTTGTTGATGTCAATGTTGTGAACCGAGTGCCCCGTGGGGTTATGGTATGGGCAGGCATAAGCTACGGACAACAAAACACAATTGCATTTTATTGATGGCAATTTGAATGCACAGAGATACCGTGCCAAGATCTTGAGGCCCATTGTCGTGCCATTAATCCGCCTCCATCACCTCATGTTTTAGCATGATAATGCACGGCCCCATGTCGCAAGGATCTGTACACAATTCCTGGAAGCTGAAAATGTCCCAGTTCTTCCATGGCCTGCATACTCACCAGACATGTCACCCATTGAGCTAATTTGGGATGCTCTGGATCAACGTGTACGACAGCGTGTTCCAGATCCCGCCAATATCCAGCAACTTCGTACAGCCATTGAAGAGGAGTGGGACAACATTCCACAGGCCACAATCAAAAGCCTAATCAACAGCCTGATCAACTCTATGCGAAGGAGCTGTGTCGCGCTGCATGAGGCGAATGGTCACACCAGATACTGACTGGTTTTCCGATCCACACCCATACCTTTTTTTAAAGATATCTGTGACCAACAAATGCATATCTGTATTCCCAGTCATGTGAAATCCATAGATTAGGGCCTAATGAATTTATTTCAATTGACTGATTTCCTTATATGAACTGTAACTTAGTAAAATCTTGGGAATTGTTGCATGTTATTTTTGTTCAGTACACAGTAAAAGCGAGCTCCTCAAAATTGGCATATGACAAAGAAGCTTCTAAGAACTGGTCCAGTGTCTGCATTGTATATTCATATTAAGATTGGAGTTTGGGGGCCTCCTGAGTGGCGCTTGAGGCGTCACTACAGACTCAGGTTCAATCCCAGGCTGTGTCACAGCCGGCAGTGACTGGGAGACCCATGAGGCGACACACAATTGGCCCAGCGTCATCCGGGTTAGAGGAGGGTTTGGCCGGCCGGCATTTCCTTGTCTCATCGCGCTCTAGCGACTCCTTGTGGCAAACCGGGCGCCTGCAAGCTGATTTCAGTCGTCAGCTGGACGGTGTTTCCTCCGACATATTGGTGTGGCTGGCTTCCGGGTTAAGCGAGCAGTGTGTCAAGCAGTGCGGCTTGGCAGGGTCATGTTTCGGAGGACCAATGGCTCTCGACCTTCGCCTCTCCCGAGTCCATAGGGGTGGGACAAGACTAACTACCAATTGGATATCACGAAATTGGGGAGAAAAAGGGTTAAAAGTAAATAAATACAAATTGGGTAGAGGAGGCTGATCCCAGAACAGCAAGCATGTGATTTGTGATTAACAAGGTGGTTTTGGAAAACTGGCAAAACTGATCGTTCATCCTAAAGATCCATCAATATTGGGAAACCCACCGGATAGTTACACAGAGGTCCAATCAGCCGCGGTCTTCTTACCTTGCTGCTAGGCGACTGGGCGGGGCTGAGCTCGTCACTCATCATGGACAGACCATTCCCCTCTGACTCCATACCTGCAAACAGGACACACACAGAATCAGACAGAGCAGGTTAGAGAGAGCAGACAGACAGATAATGTTTGGTAAACAGAAAGACATTCGGGCCAAACAGAAAACTGCAATTTGTGCATGCTCTAAATTTCGTTGTTTTTGTTTTGTTATTGTTCCAAAATAAATTGGGCAAGTGACTAAAACCTTTATGCAACAAATAAATGCTCTCGACTTGCTGGACGTGCCTCTAAGAGCTTAACGTCAATCCCTGGATAGACTCGTTTACAGTCATTTCTAGTGGTCACCCGCTGGGACTGAAAGGTTGAAGGTGTGTGTAGTTTATACTTCCCCAAAACGTTCTTCTTAACAATACGTCCCTGGCGCTTGTGTAAAGTTATAACCTACATGTCACGATCGTCAGGGAGAGAAGTAGACCAATGCGCAGCGTGTTGAATGAACATGTTTAGAATTTATTTAATAAAGGACGAACAAAACAATAAATGACTCGTAACGTCCAACGGTAAACAAATACCGACACGGAACAAAAACCCACAACCACAAAGTGAAAACAGACAGTTTAAATATGGCTCCCAATCAGAGACAACCAGCGAACAGCTGACACTCGTTGCCTCTGATTGGGAGTCACTCAGGCAAACACAGAAATAGACAACCTAGAACACCCAACATAGAAACAGAACACATAAACGAACACACCCTGGCTCAACATACAGAGTCCCGGAGCCAGAGCGTGACAGTACCCCCCCCTAAAGGCGCGGACTGCGACCGTGCCTCAACAAAACCCACACAGGGGAGGGCTGGGTGGGCATTCCTCCTCGGAGGCGGCTCCGGCTCCGGGCTTGACCACCACCCTTCCATAATTCCCCCGTAGCGCCCCTGGTCCGGTCTGACCCCGCTGGCTGGATCTGGACTGGACATCGACGGAGCGGATTGCTTACGCTCCGTTGTGGAGTAGCTGACCGGTACCTGATCAGGCACCAGACTGACGACGCGCACTCCTGGCTTGGCGCGTGAGGCAGGAACGGACCGGACCTGGCTGACGATGCGCCCCCCTGGCTTGGTGCGTGGAGAAGCAACGGACCGGACCGGGCTGACGATACGCACCCCTGGCTTGGTGCGTGGAGCCGGAACGGGCCTCACCGGACTGACGACTCGCACCCTTGGCTTGGTGCGTGGAGCAGCGACGGGCCTTACCAGGCTGACGACTCGCACCCCGCGCTTGGTGCGAGTAGCAGGAACGGGCTGAACCAGGCTGACGACTCGCACCCCTGGCTTGGTGCGAGTGGCAGGAACGGGCTGGACCAGGCTGACGACTCGCACCCCTGGCTTGGTGCGAGTGGCAGGAACGGGCTGGACCAGGCTGACGACGCACACCGTAGGCTTGGTGCGTGGAGCAGGGACAGGCCGGGCTGGGCTGGCGACGCACACTGTAGGCTTGGTGCGTGGAGCAGGGACAGGCCGGGCTGGACTGGCGACGCACACCGTAGGCTTGGTGCGTGGAGCAGGGACAGGCCGGGCTGGGCTGGCGACGCACCCCGTAGGCTTGGTGCGTGGAGCAGGAACAGGCCGGACTGGGCTGTCGACGCACACCGTAGGCTTGGTGCGAGAGGCAGGAACAGGCCGGACCGTACTGGGGACACACACCACTGGCCCTACGCAGGGATCAGGAACGGGCCGGACCGGACTGGTAACACACCCCAGTACCACTCGCCGTGCCTCCACACTTTCCCTCTCCTCTGTGACCAGTGGCCCCCTTAACCTGGCGGCCTCCTCTGCCAATCCGCTGGGCCGCTCTGCCGCGGTCTCCTGCTGGCCCGTCGTCCACGGCGTTAGTCCCCCCCTAAAAATTTCTGGGGGTCTCTCTTCCCCGTGGGCCAGGCCTCTATATTTCTCGCCCAACTCTCGCTCTCCTGCTTCCAACTCCAGCCATTCTGCTCCTCCTTAGGCTTGACCCAGTCGAGACTCTTCCTCCACTGTTCCCAAGTCCATCCACTCTGCTCTTTACAAGGCTGGACCCAGTCGAGGTTGCCACGGAGATCTGCAAGCGATTCCCCTGGCGATGGCTCCTGGACACGCTGCTTGGTCCAGTTTTGGTGGGTTTTTCTGTCACGATCGTCAGGGAGAGAAGTAGACCAATGCGCAGCGTGTTGAATGAACATGTTTAGAATTTATTTAATAAAGCACGAACAAAACAATAAATAACTCGTAACGTCCAACGGTAAACAAATACCGACACGGAACAAAAACCCACAACCACAAGGTGAAAACAGACAGTTTAAATATGGCTCCCAATCAGAGACAACCAGCGAACAGCTGACACTCGTTGCCTCTGATTGGGAGTCACTCAGGCAAACACAGAAATAGACAACCTAGAACACCCAACATAGAAACAGAACACATAAACGAACACACCCTGGCTCAACATACAGAGTCCCGGAGCCAGAGCGTGACACTACAGCATGCATTAAAATCTCTGTGCGGTGTGTGGTGATGTCACAAAGTGGTTACGGAAACGTCTAGCGGAGTATATATCAAGGGGTGTATTCATTAGTGTACACCATAGCAAGCCTTTTTGCAACGAAAACTTGTGGGACTCGTTTCGATGAGTTTGGTGAGCGGTGAGTTTGCTTCCATTTGGTTACTAGTGAAAATACCCCAGCCTTACCTGGGCTGTGCAGGAAGAGGTCGCTGTCTCCTCCGTAAGACATGTTCCGGGTCAGAGAGCGGTGGTCGAGCTTAGGAGGGGAGGGAGAGGTGGTGTTGGGAGACAGAGACAACCTCCGATGAAACAAGTTCTCCTCCTTCATCCTGTCTGCTGCCTACTCTTCCTCTGGAGAGAGAGAAAGAGAGACATGTTACTCACTCTGCCCAATCCAGATGACAAAAACAGCCTAGTATGTAGTCAGTGAAGCAAAACTAAGTGAGAACCAACGGTTAAAGACAAAAGTTGTAGATACTAAATGGTGAAAAATAGTAAAGTACCACATGAAGAGTAATCCAGACCATTAGATTTGATTAAATACTCGACAAATGGTTTATCATTTTCTAAAACACTACACGAGTACTCAACATTTTCAAAATGCGACTGGACTACTGAGCAGGGGTAACTCGAAGACGAGTGTTCAAGTGCAGTGAAAATGTGTTAAGTTTCGTTATCAGTTGTGCGTTTGTGTGCTGTAGGCCTATCCAGACAAACTGACACCCAAAACATCACCTTCAGCCCCGTTTCATATTTTAAAAAAGTGAGCTTTCACATTTAGTGCTCTTATGTCCTCAAGTCTCTTTCATCCATTTATCACAATATCTCTTTCTATAGTTTCTCCCTCTCCCTTGTGATGGTTCCTCTCACCTCACTGTTCTGGACTTTCAGAGAGCTATGCTCGACGCAGCTATGCTACGTCAGCCTGTCCACACAATGTGGCCGTGTCACAACGCCAGTCTATGCGACCGACCGTCTATACAATTGCCAGGCTGTGACAGACAGGCTCTCCGTCACTGATTCGATGTCGTCATAGCGACTCCACACAGAGCCACAGTGCACGACAGTCACCAAGCTCACCCTGGTCGGAGAGGAGAGGCAAACCTCAGCCCACACAACACCCAGAGAGTTAACTAGCCCGGGGTCTGAACCTTAACACCCACAGAGGGTTGGTCCATAAATATGACACACTACACACTCCATTGTTTGGCTTTCACTGTGATGTAGGGGCGGAATGTAGCCTAGTGGTTAAGAGCGAAAGGTAGCTTGTTCAAATCCCCGAGCCGACTAGGTAAAGAATCTGTCAATGGCACTTAACCCAAATTGCTTCTGTAAGTCGCTCTGGATAAATGTGATGTTATGTAGGAGCAGCAGATGCATCACTAAGGATAGTGAGGTCTGCACGTGTATCATTAATGAATGAAAACGTACCACTCCCTCCGTTATCACTCCACTCCCTACCTCCTCCCCTTGGCCCTAAACATTCAATGTTCTCAGATCTGAAATGTCTGGATAGGTAGGCTAGCCAGGGTAGTGGTGGCGCTTCAACCATATTGCTTCCACCTTAGCCTAGATTTGCTGTAAACATAGAAGGCGAAGTATAGGGACAGACACGAGCTCACTCCCTCCATCCCCTCCCTGCTGTTCTTCTTCTTCCTCAATGTGGCTTTCCAGGACGAGTCGAAGAGCACTGGTCTATGGAGATTCAGTAAGCTCATTATATATAGGCCTAGGCTCGCTGTAGGCCTAAAACTTAAGTCAGTCATGGTAAGCAATGGGGGACGACTTCCAGTAAAGCATGTCAGGTAGTTCAAGAAAGCACATCATGTCTCTGTGAGCTGTTAATCCCAGCATTATTTCTGTAATATCTCTGTGTGTGTGTGTGTGTTAATGCCAGCTTGTATGGCAGCTCAGTTTAGCTCTGATACACATACTGGGTTCAGAAAACATCACACTCACGCACACTTAACTTCTCTTTCAAAGCACACAACGCTCTCTCTCCTTTTCTCTTTCTCTAAAAAAAGTGCCTAAATAACAGTCAACAACTTAACCTCACAATCCACTCACACACCCATCCCCTATCTGCACTTCCTCTCTTCTCCCTTTCTCTCCGTCTCTCTCGCTCCTGTCTCTCTCTCTCTGAAAGATGAGAGCACAGGTGTTGTCGAGAAATGATGCATCGAAAGGCCACAGCTACAACGTATTCAGAGTACAAATGTGATCTACAGTGCCTTCGGAAAGTATTCAGACCCCTTGACTTTCCACATTTTGTTAGGTTACAGCTTTATTCTAAAATATATATATTTTTTTAATCCTCAATCTACACACAATACCCCATAATGACAAAGCAAAAACAAGCTCAGAAATTTTTGCAAATGTATTACAAATAAAAAAAACTTAAATATCACATTTACATAAGTATTCAGACCCTTTACTCAGTACTTTGTTGAAGCACCTTGGGCAGCGATAACAGCCTCGACTCTTCTTGGGTATGATGCTAAAAGCTTGGCACACCTGTATTTGTATTTGGGGAGTTTCTCCTATTCTTCTCTGCAGATCCTCTCAAGCTCGGTCAGGTTGGATGGGGAGCGTCGCTGCACAGCTATTTTCAGGTCTCTCCAGAGATGTTCGATCGGGTTCAAGTCCGGGCTCTGGCTGGGCCACTCAAGGATATTCAGAGACTTGTCCCGAAGCCACACCTGCGTTGTCTTGGCTGTGTGCTTAGGGTCGTTGTCCTGTTGGAAGGTGAAACTTCACCCCAGTCTGAGGACCTGAGTGCTCTGGAGCAGGTTTTCATCAAGGATCTCCCTTTACTTTGCTCCGTTCATCTTTCCCTCAATCCTGACTAGTCTCCCAGTCCCTGCCGCTGAAAAACATCCCCACAGCATGATACTGCCACCACCATGCTTCAGCGTAGGGATGGTGCCAGGTTTCCTCCAGAAGTGACGCTTGGCATTCAGGCCAAAGAGCTCAATCTTGGTTTCATCAGACCAGAGAATCTTGTTTCTCATGGTCTGAGAGTCTTTAGGTGCCTTTTGGCAAACTCCAAGCGGAATGTTTAGTGCCTTTTACTGAGGAATGGCTTCCGTCTGGCCACTCCACCATAAAGGCCTGATTGGTGGAGTGCTGCAGAGATGGTTGTCCTTCTGGAAGGTTCCCGCATCTCCACAGAGGAACTCTGGAGCTCTGTCAGAGTGACCAGCGGGTTCTTGGTCACCTCACTGACCAAGGCCCATCTCCCCCGATTGCTAAGTTTGGCCGGGCAGCCAGCTCTAGGAAGAGTCTTGGTGGTTCCAAACTTCTTCCATTTAAGAATGATGGAGGCCACTGTGTTCTTGGGGACCTTCAGTGCTGCAGAAATGTTTTGGTACCCTTCCCCAGATCTGTGCCTCGACACAATCCTGCCTCAGAGCTCTACGGACAATGGTTTTTGCTCTGACATGCACTGTCAACTGTGGGACCTTATAGAGACGGGTGTGTGCCTTTCCAAATCATGTCCAATCAATTGAATTTACCACAGGTGGACTCCAATCAAGTTGTAGAAACATCTCAAGGATGATCGATGGAAACAGGATGCACCTGACCTCAATTTAGTGTCTCATATATTGTGTATAGATTGCTGAGGATTCTTTAGTTATTTAATCCATTTTAGAATAAGGCTGTAACGTAACAAACTGTGGAAAAAGTCCAGGGGTCTGAATACTTTCCGAAGGCACTGTATAATGTAGATATATGGTGCAACTGCCTGACTACACAGCTTTTGAGCTAGACAATCACAGAACTGCTTTTTTTGCAGTTGAAACCTCAGCATATACAGTGAGGGAAAAAAGTATTTGATTCCCTGCTGATTTTGTACGTTTGCCCACTGACAAAGAAATTATCAGTCTATAATTTTAATGGTAGGTTTATTTGAACAGTGAGAAACAGAATAACAACAAAATCATCCAGAAAAACGCATGTTATAAATGGATTTGCATTTTAATGAGGGAAATAAGTATTTGACCACTCTGCAAAACATGACTTAGTACTTGGTGGCAAAACCCTTGTTGGCAATCACAGAGGTCAGACGTTTCTTGTAGTTGGCCACCAGGTTAGCACACATCTCCTCTTTGCAGATCTTCTCCAAGTCATTAAGGTTTCGAGGCTGATGTTTGGCAACTCGAACCTTCAGCTCCCTCCACAAATTATCTATGGGATTAAGGTCTGGAGACTGGCTAGGCCACTCCAGGACCTTAATGTGCTTCTTCTTGAGCCACTCCTTTGTTGCCTTGGCCGTTTTGGGTCATTGTCATGCTGGAATACCCATCCACAACCCATTTTCAATGCCCTGGCTGAGGGAAGGAGGTTCTCACCCAAGATTTGACGGTACTTGGCCCCGTCCATCGTCCCTTTGATGCGGTGAAGTTGTCCTGTCCCCTTAGCAGAAAAACACCCCCAAAGCATAATGTTTCCACCTCCATGTTTGACGGTGGGGATGGTGTTCTTGGGGTCATAGGCAGCATTCCTCCTCCTCCAAACACGGCGAGTTGAGTTGATGCCAAAGAGCTCCATTTTGGTCTGACCACACCACTTTCACCCAGTTCTCCTCTGAATCATTCAGATGTTCATTGGCAAACTTCAGACGGGCCTGTATATGTGCTTTCTTGAGCAGGGGGACCTTGCGGGCGCTGCAGGATTTCAGTCCTTCACGGCGTAATGTGTTACCAATTGTTTTCTTGGTGACTATGGTCCCAGCTGCCTTGAAATCATTGACAATATCCTCCCGTGTAGTTCTGGGCTGATTCCTCACCATTCTCATGATCATTGCAACTCCACGAGGTGAGATCTTGCATGGAGCCCCAGGCCGAGGGAGATTGACAGTTCTTTTGTGTTTCTTCCATTTGCGAATAATCGCACCAACTGTTGTCACCTTCTCACCAAGCTGCTTGGCGATGGTCTTGTAGCCCATTCCAGCCTTGTGTAGGTCTACAATCTTGTCCCTGACATCCTTGGAGAGCTCTTTGGTCTTGGCCATGGTGGAGAGTTTGGAATCTGATTGATTGCTTCTGTGGACAGGTGTCTTTTATACAGGTAACAAGCTGAGATTAGGAGCACTCCCTTTAAGAGTGTGCTCCTAATCTTAGCTCGTTACCTGTGTAAAAGACACCTGGGAGCCAGAAATCTTTCTGATTGAGAGGGGGTCAAATACTTATTTCCCTCATTAAAAAGCAAATAAATTGATAACATTTTTGACATGCATTTTTCTGGATTTTTTTGGTCTTATTTTGTCTCTCACTGTTCAAATAAATACCATTACAATTATAGACTGATAATCTCTTTGTCAGTGGG